GTTCTTAGCAATTTTTTGGAACATGCAGGGTATGGTCTCTGTGGAAAATGTGACAATTGTATCAATTTCAACATATGATGAGCTTAAAAGTATCATTGAAAGGGGATCTGAACAACGCCATACAACTGAGACTTTGATGAACGAACAGAGTTCAAGATCTCACCTTATTCTTTCAGTTGTGATTGAGAGTACCAACCTACAGACCCAGTCTGTTGCCAGAGGAAAGGTACCAACCCTCTCATTCTAGTAGAAGACCTGATACTGTGAATTAAATATTCCCTATATTTAAGCTTGGGCAATTGGAGTAAAAAGTGCTTTTCTTTCTCTGGTTGTGCGTTAAATAGGAAAAAAATGTTAATAACTTATTGATTGTTAACTACATGTGGATGTGGAAGCTAATATTTTGCCTAGTAAAATGTTACTTTGGATCTTTCAAGAAACTGTTTTCATATGAACGTACAATGTCTAGATCGTTTTCTCTTTGCCAACTGTGTTCCAGCAAGTTGTTATGTTAAATCTGTTTGATGGTACTACAACTTTGCAGTTGCCCTCGGATAATTTTGAGTTATGGTGAAGTAGTAGTGACTATAGGGGATCAGTAAGTTGTGTTTTGAGGTGCAATGTTGTAATAGAGGTGGAGCTTATGTGCCTTGCCACTCATGTTGGGGAGCAACAAACCAATCTGGAAATCTATGCTCCAACTATATGTAGAGCAAGAGCCTTCTACTCACTTTATTTTGTACTAAAAATGCCTATTATAGTTAGTTTTCAAATACTATACATGAATGTCTTTTCTAAACATATACTAATTATATAGCAATAACCTTCGTCTGGTGTGAAGAAATACTGTTTTCTTATGTCTTATCAAAAATGCCTTTTATAGTTAGTTTTCAAACTACTGATATCCCCTCTTTTCATCCACCATGATTTCAAATTCAATAACTTGTTTTGAGAAAAAAAGGCAATAAATATGGACTTTTAAATTAAGCACGTGTCCTGTGTGCCAAGAACAATAGTACATATATTTGTTGAGCAAGATTTGGTCTGTGGCATCACTTACCCTTTATTGGGTGGTGTTTTAACATAATCAAGGAATATTCTTATTCTTCCCTAAAAATGTAAAGTTAATGTCCATAAAAGTAGTTCATGTATAATTTTTATTTTTCTCTTGCACGCAAGCAGGGTGTGCTTTTATTGCAAGTGTTATATTAGTGGTAGAGCATGTATCCCACTCCTCTTGTTGTTCAGTGGTGGTATAGGCTACACTGCATAGGTTGCTAGTGCAATACCTATTACGGGCTGCCTGTGTCTATGAGGAAAATAAAGTGCATCATTGGAGTTTGCTACTTATTTTCGTCACAATATTGGAAAACTAAGAAGTGGTTTTTGGCTTACAATATTTTGTACTCGTTTCTTCTAGGAATATTGCTGAATATATTTCATCTCAACTTCTATGTAAAACAAATAACCTTTGTTTACATGTGGTAAAACAGATAGGTCTCTCTTAAGCTATAGTGTTGCCACCTAGATTTATGTTAAGCTATATAGCTGCGAACTTTTAATTTAAAAGAGAAAGGTACCTTCTTTTTGTTGTGGCCTGCTTTTGAAAGAGAATGTACCCTGTGTTTTTGTACTTTGTTTGCTCTAGGAATAATGCTGAATACATTTCCTTTCAACTTTTTTGTATAACATTTCCTTTCCTGTGTTTCTGTTATGCTATTGTTGCCAACTTCTAATATAAAGAGAAAGTTTCCAAGGCCCAAATTTGTTGCTTAGTGTTACTATTTTGGTGGGCCGGGGTCTTGTTTTGGTATTTCACAAGTGTATTAAGGGGTCTGCATTGGGGTGCATGGTGCATCTAAATCATGGTCTTTCACTTTGTTGTGCTTCTTAAGTTATGTAGGTGTCCTGGTAGATAAAATTATCCATGTTTTGTGTTTCTACCATTTCAGCTTAATAGTGTGCTCTCACTCATGTGTCTGTTGTTCATGTATTGCACCTTGTGGCGCTCTAGCTAGTCATAGCTGAACTAGTTATTTCATGATGCAGCTGAGTTTTGTTGATCTTGCTGGTTCTGAGAGGGTTAAGAAGTCAGGCTCTTCCGGAAGTCAACTAAAGGAAGCTCAGAGCATTAACAAGTCACTCTCAGCACTTGGAGATGTCATCAGCGCCCTGTCCTCTGGTGGCCAACACATCCCCTACAGGAATCACAAGCTAACGATGTTGATGAGTGACTCACTAGGTGGTAATGCTAAAACATTGATGTTTGTAAACATTTCACCAGCTGAATCAAACTTGGATGAGACATACAATTCTCTTGTGTAAGTTGCTCTCATCCTTATGGTTGCCATGGAAAGTAAATGCTTAAATTTTATAATATTAACTTGAAGTCATTGATCTTTGTCCCGGTGATACTGTTTTAATGTCAATGTTTCGATGCCAAGCAGTTATGCGTCGAGAGTTCGGTCCATCATAAATGATCCGAGTAAAAATGTATCATCTAAGGAGGTGGCTCGTTTAAAGAAGCTTGTGGCATATTGGAAGGAACAGGCAGGTCGAAAGGGGGAGGATGAGGATCTGGAAGAGATCCAAGAAGAAAGATTCACAAAGGAGAGGCCTGATGGTCGTCACTCCATGTGAACTGAGTGGTTTTTGCCAACATTGACAATTTTTTCCGCAAGAATGGGAGGCGATCAGTGTTAAAACTACAGCAGTAATATTTAACTGTATTCCGTAGCAGCACGATGTTTTCTGGTGTTGCTGCTTTATGCAGTTGCTGGATTACATGTCCTGAAATTTTGTTGTAGCATGATATTCACCGAGTTTATTAGGTCTTAGATCAGCATTTGTACAGTGAAAGTTGTGTATATTTGAGCTAACTAATTACTTCTGGATCCATATTAATGAATTTGAATCATTTTTTGCCAAAAATTTTTGAACTGTATAGCCATGGAGATATGAACTCATTCCGAGTTGCAAGTTCATGGGATTGATTTTCAGAAGTTGTAGAAGATTTTACTAGAAATTACACTAGAAGCTAGTTCACAAATTTATGGAACTGTAGCATTTAACTGGATGCTTGGTGGGAGATATAATCACACAATGGTCTTGGCCATTTTGTTACATGTACTTTTCCAATCAACTAGACAAGACCCTGCAACAACCCGTTTGCAATATTTGCACTTTCCATCTCTGACTCTCCACGCCTGAGAATGTTTTGGCTTCAACAAATTTTAGCAAAATTGACTTTTTGTGACCAAATACTAAATAAGTGGTGATTTACTCCGTCTAACTTTGCATGACAATTTGAACCCTTTCTTCCACCTAAACCCTAAGATGCAGCAGCATCATCTGTTCGACCTGGTGTTTCCCCACTGCCAAATTTACCCCATCCTCCCATGCTTATAAAATTGAGACGGACGATCATACCCCAAATTAGGACAGACAATCATCAATCATGTTATGTTATACAATACATACAAGTGCTTTGAACTAGGATTGTAGGGCTTTACCCCGAAGGGAGCCCTTCCAGAAATTCTCGATGGCCCAGGCCAAACCCAGGCCAAAGAGGGGGTTTGGAAATAGTTTTCAACCAGCAATAGACGCGCCTCGGTTAGAACCTCACTAGCTGCGTCATTGCCCCAAGCGCAAAGATGCGGAATACGGAGTCCCCAGGCGGCCTTTTATACCACGCTGCTCTCTTGGTCCACCTCGAGCAAGTCGATGTGGGATGTAAGACAAATCCAACCAACAGGCGGTCTATTGATGTAAGCGAGGCAAGACACATCAATCAAGAGACTTCTAAACCAGCATCCCAGCAAGGACTACCTCTATCAACCGGGGTTGGGCCAAGTGGTAAGTAGCTTGGTTCCGCTTAAGCAGGTCTCGGGTTTGAAACCTGGCGTATGCAGCTACCCTTGTTGGGAGGCTCACCCACCACAGCCAAGTGTGCGACCCGGGTCGACCAACGGATTAGTCAGGGCAAAACCCTAGATACCATGGCAGGCAACCAAAAAAAAAAGAAAAAGCAAGGACTACCTCTTCTGGCAAAAAGAGCGATGGATATTAACCGGAAATGAATGGGCCTTGTTTGGTAAGTAAGTTTTTTGTCAAGTTTGTCTGCACAGTAATTTTAAAAAATTTCTCAAAATTTTAAAATTATACACTTCAAAATATTCATAAATTTACACACTTCAAAAAATTTTTTAAAAATGTCTACAGTAAAGTTTTAGACAAACACTCACTTGCCAAACATGGCCGATATTGGGATTGGGTGTGTTTAGATTGTACTTTTAAAAACAAAAAAATACTACGTGTTTTTCATAGACACATTTTTCAATCACTTTTTTATCTCATATATATCAAATCGTTACAATAAATTTTTTTTACAAAAAAATCAAAAAAATGCAATCCAAACAAAGTCAGACTACTTCTCAAAAATTATGAGATTTAAGGAGTTTAAGAAGTATTTGAGATTTTTTTTTAAGAATATTAATTTCATTTCTCGATATTAGCACTTAGATTTGTCATTTTTCAACACTAAATTAGCACTAGCTGTTTCTGAACCTTGAAATGTAGAGGGGTTCTATAAAAACAAAGATTAGAACAAAATGTTAAAAGAACGCTAAGCTACTAGTTATTATTTTTTTAAAAAAAAACTTGCAATTAAGCCACCACTCAAATTTCCCTTGCTAAAATCTCATTTGAGCTGGGGTCGAATAAAAGACAAGCCAGACTTAAAATGTGTTAAAGAGTATAAGCGTCTATTAGGCTTTGATAACACCATCCGCCACTTTTAAGGTAAGACTCCCCGAGAAAATAAGAGAGAGATTGTAAGAAGAAAAAGGAGAAAAAAACCTACTAATCAAATGAATTCACTTCTAAAACATATTCTTTTCAGTCCAATATTTGGCCCAGATAATTTGGACTTTGAAGTGAAAAATTTTGCTCCTCGGCCCAGCTCTATTTGGACCAATCGCTATCAAAATAACACTTGGCGGCTCGCCAGCGGCGCGTCTTAACGGCTGCTAACCGGTCTTCTTCCTTTCGCGCCGCCCGTCCTTTATTTCCCACCTCGGATCCAAATTTCAAGAAAAAAGCCCTCAATTTGATTTCCAGTTTAAGGTCAGTTCGGCGTTCTCCTAATTCCTACGTTGGATCTGGGATTTCATCTGGGTCGCAGCTTCACTTGTTCAATTAAAGAATTTGTAAGTAGATTATTTTCTCTCGTCTGAAGTTTGCTGCTTCCCTCCAGGTAATTTAACTGGTATTTTAGCTGGAATTGATGCTGAAATAACACATTTTAGCTAAAATTATCACTTTTTAGTTAATTAAAGTGTTAAATTCTCTCTCTCTCTCTCTCTCGTACTCTTTCTTGTGTTAAAGTGAATTGTCTGAAAATCCAGTTCTGCATTCTGTTGAATTAATTTCGAATAGAAGCTGCTATATATGCCTAAATAACCCGTTTTCTTGTTTAACATGGTTGATTTTCTGGTTTACGTAATTGTATATACTTTGTTGGTTTATAGGAAAAGAGATGATTTTCTTGAGCTGGGCTCGCCCATCTCCTGAAGATCAGAAAGCATGCATAAACAAGTACCATACTGCCTCTTGAACTTCAAATATATAAACAATCCCCTCCCCCCAACCTTTTTTTGGCTGTTGTTTTGTTCTTAATGGAGCGGATATGCATTTGACTGTACTTGTTAGGTCTGGTACCTTTAATTATGAGGCTAAATACAGAGGAAAAACTGCAGAGCCTGCATCCTCAGTTCAGCGAGACAGTGAACTTAGGAAAAATGGTTTTTCAGTTAATCATGCGCGCACTTTAGTTGGTTCAGGTTTTGATGCATTTGAGAAGGGTATAGTCGCTCTTCAGAGTTGGAGGTCCGTCCTTTCGTAAATATATCTACCATCTACTCACAAAGCACACCTACTACTATACAAGTACAATATACATGAAGATAGCTTAGTAACACGATGGAACCAATTCACATTGTAAGAAAATTTGCAGGCACTTTGGACTAGATTGGGCATTTGTTGATAGCAAGACACTGATTCAAAGAGGCTCGAGGTTCTGTGTTTGTGAGAAGGAATTCTTCCCTTGGCTTATGATGCCTTTGCAAGTGGTGTATGCTAACGACAACAGAAATTCTAAAACTGCTGTGGCCTCCTTTGGTTTTGGAAGTGGTACTCTTAAAGGACATTTGCTGGTTAGTCTTTTCCTAGTTGTGTGATTAGTTTTAACAATAATTATAGCCGTATATTGCATTTGCTGCTATGTCATGGAGAATAAGTGATTAATTGTCGATTGGTTTACCCTCTTTATCTTGAAAGCTGATTGATATGCCAATGTAATGGTGATGCAAAAGAGTGATTGAAAGCATTGGCTTCTTGTCTGCTATGACACCATAACCTGCTGAGGCTTATATGCATTCTTCTTGTTTGTATGATAGTTGGGAGAATAAAAAATTTGGGAGATTCAACTTGAGAGAACCACTATTCAAACATGGTTCAGAAAAAAAAAATCTGTATTTGATATGGATGACAGAATTTGATTTGGGTAAGGGAAGGATTCCTGAATGTCTGGCAAAACTGAATCTTTGGGTAGGGGAAGAATTCCTTGACAGTAAATCACTGCAAGGACTGTCTTATTTGCCAATGCACTAGGGTATGGTATTCTGTTTATTCCTGTTTACTAGTAATTATTTAGCTGTTGTATGTTTGAACATGTGGTTGTGCATTGAGAAAAGATCATAAACTTAACAAGCACATCATCAGTTGCTGTATACTTTTATGATTAGGCTGCTGTATCTATGTCCTTTTTCAAAAGCTAATTCAGCAAGCTTTGCTTAAAGTTTCTTCAGAGTTGCTACGTTAAGCATTTGACTAACCTTGGACTGGACAAACCAACATATAAAGACGCTGGGTTCTTAAAGTTCAAAGACACTGAACGGATGCATCTAATTTAAAAGTCAAATCCATTTCTGCCTATTTACTGTACTCAAACTAAGTAAATCAGAAGTTCAAGGTGCATGAAGCTGTGTGCCTACATCACTTTGTTATGCTATTGCATTTTCTGTGTAGTTTGTTTCTTAAACTTACAATTAATACTTTTAAATTGGTTTTTAAATAGGCTGGGGAAGAACGCTTCTCCATCACGCTGGATGAAGACAATCAAGTTTGGTATGAAATACTTTCCTTTTCAAGACCTGCACATTTTCTATCTCTGATCGGCTACCCTTATGTTCTGCTTAGGCAGAGATTTTTTGCTTACCAATCTAGTATAGCAGTTCAAAAGCATTTATCTTGTAAGTAGTTTGTTGAGTCTGCACCATATATCTACTTAACAACAGTTCAGTTTTTCAGCATGTAAACATTTCGATCATATGCTTTTTCTCGTAAAAGGTTCAAGACCTTTGTATTGTCAAGGAACTTACAGAAGTGAGATGGCCAGGGAGAAAGGTAAACCTGAAGAAAAAGAAAGAAAGAAAGGTTAGTAGCCCACGAGTCAAATGAAAAGCCATCTAAAGCTAAAAGAATTCACGGGAGAAGGTCTCCTATTCCCAATTAAACCTGGGTCCCCTGGGAAGATTGATTGGCTGTAGGGTCCTTCCTTTTTTAAACGAAACAAACAGGCTGATTCCCGAAAGGACTTTCTGGCTATTCCTCAGTCGCGTGAAAGCGAGAAAGTTTGATCTCTTCTTTGGTGGTGGCATATTCTACGGCAAATTTGATTTATCATAGTGCACCTTGTACGGGACGTTAACATGCTAGTAATAGGACGTTAAAGGACTTTCTGGCTATCCCTCAAATTGCTAGTAATAGGGGGTTATGTGATATTAAAGTTGTTGATTGATTACACTGAATGAAGAGAATTAAATGTGGTGCAAAATACTCCCAACAATTTAAAAGATGAATTGCTGATCCAGGCTAGTATACAAGCTGATAGATGAAACTTGAAAGCATTTACAACTATTTAAGTACAAGTTTCGCTGAGCATGGAACTAATGTACGGTACAAACTCCTCCTCAACTTCTCACTTTAGTAAAACAAATAGAAGAAAAAAAGAGGGAAAAGATGATAATGGTTGGAAATCTTTAGATCTCCTCTCCAAACGGGGGGAGAAAGATATAGGATGGCTCAAAACAAATTGGAAAAAAAAATAATAATAAGCACAGAAGAAGAAGGCACGGTCCTCCATTGGCAGTCGTTTTTTACAAGAAAGGAAAAAAAAAAAAAAAAAAAAAAAACTACACCATGGAGTGGTCAGTGTATCCTGCGTGGCTCTCCCTGCTGAGGTATTGCTGACTCCATTCTGAGTTGAAGTGGGAAGTTGTAATGGATGTCGTAGTGCCCGTTGTTGTCCTAGAATCTAGATCAACCGGGACCATTGCAGGCCAAACAAATGCTGGCTTGAAAGCTGGCACATTCGGTGGTGGCACCGATCCTGATATAATCTGTAGTATGGCTTGTGTTTTTGGCCTCTCACTAGCTATAGGATGTGAACAAGCCAGCCCCAGTAGCAAGAGTCTCTCAGCTTCGTCGGCAACATAGTCTTCCCCCAGCTTCTCATCAACAGCTCGGAGCAGGAGGCCATCACGATGCAAGAACCATACCCACTCTGCCAAACCATTGCAACCAGCAATCTTGGTTCCCGGGCGCTGCCCGCACACTACTTCCAACAAGACTGCCCCGAATGCATAAACGTCCGATTGTTGTGTTGCCGTCCCAGTGTGGAAACACTCAGGCGCAATATATCCAATCGTGCCCGGAATGCCCTCAGCCTCGTGATAAGACGTCTTTTCATTTTCAAGGACTCGCGCCAATCCAAAGTCTCCTAGTCGAGCGTTGAAGTTGAAGTCGAGCATAATGTTGCTGGCTTTGAGATCACGATGCACCACCCTTTGCTCATATTCATTATGAAGATAGTGCAGAGCTGAGGCCACACCAGATACGATCTTGTAGCGAAGGTTCCAGCTCAATGTGGGTTTATCCTGCCCAACAAAGAGGTGCTGGTCCAAGCTGCCTTTGGGCATGTACTCGTATACGAGTAGCAGCTTCCCATTCTTGTGACACCATCCTGCAATGCAACCGAAGTAAATATATGTAAATATCTTCTGTTTGTGGTTTTGTTCTTGATAATCTACACGTATGAAGATACTCCTCTTTACTTGTCTGTCCTCGAAAGAATTTTTGACAATTTTCTCAAAGATAAACTAAAAAAGAAATCAAATAGCCATCTGTCCTATGTTTCTTTGGTTTAAGACTTGCGTCCGTTTTTTGGGGGTGTTGGCTTCGAGCGACATCACAGAAAGGATACCCCTGTTAAAAAAAAAAAAAAAAAAATTTGCAGGCCATACTCAATGCTGCTGCTGTCATCTGTATGTTGTTTATGTGCAAGGAGGCACCATGAACTTAACCAAGCTTAATGCTGAAGTTTAACGTCATTTCCGGGATCTAAATTTTGTCTTCTCCAAAAAAAAAAAAAGAGGAAAATAACGCCACTAGACGTTCACTTATTTTCCATGATGTATTTAGCACGACAGCAGCTGTGACGCAAGCTGCTTAGCATTCCTTCGCTAATCGTTGTCAAGAAATTACTCAATTCATCACGCGGGTCCAGTAGACTTTGTTGGTCGACTGGCGGCCATGCCTATGTGATTAAGATGTTTTTTCTTTTGTCTATTTTCTTTTTTGGGTCTTTTGGTTCTTTTATACAAAATCGAAGGAGATATTTAGGACACAGCATCAAGGGATGACCAAGAAATTCCCGGATAATAAGCAAAGGAAAATGGATAGGATGAATGGCCTACAACTACAAGATTGAGACTCTTGTTGTCGTAGATAATTAATGATCTGAACGTGCCATTTTAGAGGCAATAGGGGTCCAAATGTTTGGTTATTGATGGATAGAATCAGCCAAAAAGATAAAATGGAAAGGATACCAAGTAGAAGGGGAAATCTTGGGTACAGGGCTAAATTCAATACTAACAATTCCAAAAATGAAAACCACTTCAAAATCCCCCAGCCCTCTCTATTTCTAATCAGTTTATATCTGCATGCAAATCCTTGCAGACATTCTTGAAATCACCCAAAAGAAGAGCTTATGGGAAGTTTCGCTAATCCCTTCCCTTTGAAAAGTTTTTTTTTTTTTCAAAAAAAAAAAAGAAAGGACAGACAGTTCATTGGATGACTACGAGTTGTATTCCATCCATTGTGATGTAGTCCAAGTTATCGGTCTTGAAGACAAATTAATTGACTAATTTGTACCATGAACTGATCAGATTGAGACTGATAAATTAGATTAGTGAACAAACTTCATCAACCACAACTCTCAGACACTTATCTAAAGCAGTTCACTAAACTTGTTCTGTACAATAATCAGCAGTATAAGAAATCAAAAGGCATGGAATAGTTTTAATCCCATTGAAGTTGACAATCAGCAGTCGGGAACAATTATTATACATCTACATCGAAGCGATCAAGTATCTATTAGCATCCATGAAAAAAGTAATGCATCAATGGAAGGATGAAACATGAGTAAGATTCTCAAAAGCAGCTTAAATCAATGTTGTCATGAGGCCAATAGACAAAGATGCAAGTTAAATGCAATATTGATGCATAATTAAGCAAAGGTGCGAAAGACATACCTAGCAATTTAACAAGATGCTTATGCCGAAGACGATTAATTATAGTAAGCTCAGCAAGAAAATCATCTTGACCCTTGATGTTATCCCTCAAAAACCACTTAACAGCAATTTCCAAATTTTCACTGGTCAAGAATCCTTTGTACACAACACCGTAACCCCCTTGTCCAAGCTTGTGTTTCTCATCAAAACTATTGGTAGCCTTGTTCAATTCTTTAAACTCATACTCCTTCGGACTTCCAGGCAGGCTCTTGAGCGCTCCAAGAATGTTTGATTTCGATCGTTCGACTCGCCTTTTATGGAAATAGTATCCCAACCAAGCTGCCCCCACCAGCAGCAGCACCAGCCCTGGTACTCCGGCCCCAAGAACAATCCTCAGCCATTGGTTTTCTTCGTGATAGTACTCAATTGTTAAATTCCAACGCAGTACACAGTTGAGCTCAGCAGTGTTCCCAGTAGAAGCAGAGAACCCGAAATAGGAATTCTGATTCAGAACGTCCCTCAAGTCAAGATGCGATCTTATTATAGGTGAGCTCGGGTGAGGAGGGGTCGGCCCCTTTTGTGTTTCTTGTTCTGCAATGTAGACTTCAATGATCTTCTTGACCCCATCATATGCTACCCATACGTTATGGAAGCTTGCGTTAGGAGCAGGTGGAACAAGAGTTATGCCATGGGGCGTCAAGGATGCAGATATATTAGATCGGACACCATTAATATCGAGGCCTACATGATTGTTATCAGGATCAAAGTCTTGCTTGAATGTATCGAGCTCGACCGCAACTATTTTGTTGCTGGAGTTTCCATCAGTTGTAGCATTTGTCAAGCCAAGAAACTGGCCAAAACTGTTGGGTGGAGGCAAATCCAGGCCGGGAGCAATCAAGAATGTGAGGCCTTCACCTGACGAATTATTAACCGGAAACAGGTTGACAAGAAATGAGGAGTTGAAAGAGGCAACCCTGGTTTCATTGGATGAGATGTCATCACCATCTTTCCACAGCTTAAAGGACTGTTTCAGGAGGATTCTTCCTGATTTATTTGCTTTGCTGAAGTCATCTGATAGGCTATCAGGGGTTACCTGAAGGGCTCCATTGCTGATCATTGCTGGCGGTTCAACCATGAAGTACTCACCGTCAGTCTGATTAAAGGTGTTCCCATACTGTTTACTAAAAGTTTTGAGTTTATCAGCTTCAGAAATGGCCAGCAGACAGCAAAGAAGGATGAATGCTTTGCTGATTCTTGCTGTCAGAAACAATCCCATCTGACTAATGAGCTATCCAACCAGAAATGGGATGGAGGAGGAATATGGCTGGAGGTGGCTATGGTTAGGAAAAATGAAGAAGGAATCAATAATAATGTGTGTTTGTGTGTGTTTGTTGGGGGAGGGGGGGGGGGTCTCCTTTTTTCTTTTTCCTATTTTTCTTGAAGAAGCAGCCGAGGATGGGCTGAAGGCTTCTCCTGGGGTGAATAAAATATAGTACTAGTTGAAGAGGCAGAGAGAGATGATGAGTAAAATATATATGGTCGGATTGAAGATTGAGAAGTTTGAATGAGTTTTGGGTTTGGTCGCACACTCTATAGAGAAACTTGAGAGAGCGCAGTGCTTGGAAACTGCAGCGTTGGCAGACTTTGATTTGATTAGTCGTTGTGGTATTACTAGTAATCGTTTTTTGTTTTTTTTTTTTCCCTTTTGGTGGGAATGGAATACGAGTCCAGGGAAG